CATTAAAATTTTATGGCTCATGATCAATAATACAATTTGGTACATGTTCAGTCGTACGCTTGTTAACAAGAATTGTTTTGCAGGCAAGCTTAGAAGATTCGCTGGGGTTGTCCCAGTCGCGTATGAACACCTATCGTGCATTGGCATCTCCTTCTCTCATTTGTTTGTCGGCGAGGGATCCGATAATGTACGCCTTTGAACTGAGCTGGGAACTACGGCGATTGTCGTCCATTGAAAATCAGTATAAGATGGAATATCAGGTAAAATGTAGTTTCAAGAAAAATGAGTTATGAATAAATGTTGGCTTCAGAAATACGTTTCTGTTCGTGCTACCTTCTTTGGATGTGCCAAAGCAGTTTGATTTCATTTCTGCTTACTTTCACTGTACTTAACGGACAAGTATGCTTTTTCAGGCATCCGTGACATAAGATATAAATACGCGACAAATGTTTAACCCATGCAACGTTAAGTACATGACAGATATGAAAAACAGTAAACGAAAGACAACAGATCTTCAGGTTCAATAGTATTTGTTGGAAAAACCCGCAATATGTTCGATCTTTAATCCTTTTCTCTTTTGATACCGGATTGAAGTGTCGTAAGCACAATCCCCTTGCTTCTAGTCGAACAGACCTTTGTGCGGCCCCGCTTAGCGATGCGGTTTTGCATCCATTCACTGCAGGTCCTCAAATACCATGGATCCGTGGCCTGCTTAAATGGTCCCCTAGGCGACTACAAGCAAGGGGAGGGTGCTTACGCCGTTTTAATCCGGCATCTAAAGAGAAAATGTTAGTTCTCTTTGCGGCGGTATCGATAACTAGTAGTATGCTGGTAAACCTGAAAGACCGGGTTTTGTTTTTGTGTATATATTCGATCTTTGCTAGCCGTTACATGAATGGGTCGATTACTGTAATAGCTTCAATTTGTTTCTAGACAGGTTTAAAATTAAAACTTTAACTTCTTTAAATTGATGCTCTTGCCACAATTCGTATTAATAATGGCTTAATCAAGCCCCTTATGTAGGCAGAACATAAGATCATTCGATTTCCGAATGTTTTCTTAAATTAATCTCATTGCATTTTTGACATTGGATCATACAGACGACATCCTACCTTGCAGCATTGACCATTAATGTTCATTCTTTGGTCTGTCCTGATTTATTACAAACGTTTATGTGTTGCCTAATCAGATATTCGAAAGGTGGTTAACGGTAAAATAAATAAATAAAGCTTCGTTTTGGTACTAGTGTCTCTTACGATACTTTTTATGCCAGGTTAACGGCACCGGTAATATGTATTTATTTTGTCCCCATGGTGTCATGGGTTGTACCCGAACCTAAAGGTTGCATTAAGTTTCAACATCCTATTTGTGTAGGGTGTTCGTAGATGTGATCAGCTATCATTTCGTATCCATAGCGTGGTTTGTGATGTCCACTATATTGGCACTATCCAGTTCAATTTCTATCAGTAACGTTACGGGTAAGATTGTAGTGCGCATTCCATTGAAAGTGAAATTTTAAACAATACATCTTTTTCCGTAAGGAACTTCTGCGGCATATTTAATGCTCTTTTAATTATCTCTATTATTATCCTCTAGTATGCAACTGCAATTTACCTACTGGCTTAAAATTTGCATCTTACGATATCGTGTTTCTTAAGGTGCTGAACATTTCAGGCCCTCTCTCAGAAATGTCAGAATTTCGTCGTTGATCTGTTGGATCAGATCCGTGGTTCAGACGAACTGGAAATCCTACTAAACTACGAACCGTCCGATCGATGGACGGTGCGTGAAAGGGTCGTGGGAGAACGTATGGAATTGGCTCGTTTGAAACTTGCCGTTCAATTTCGGCAGAAAAGAGTAAGTTGTAGCTGTTCCCCTTGCTGGCTAAAACATGGACTTAGCGAACCTTGTGTTGTGCGTATATTATGATGTTGTAGCAGAAATAAGAAATGTTTGTCATTAAATCCAGAATTGCGCATATTCTGTTACTTGCTACACTAAATGGACGGATTGCGAATCTTAGGTAGGTTTTCACAGTCTAATTGTAAACCCCCACCATAATCAAACGTAGATGTGCAGATAATCGTTCAAGTGGACCATGATTCAATGGCATTTGAACCGTTACAATGCACTAAACTCATAGACCATTTTATATTAATTTATGTTACCTTGATCGTGTGTTAGTAGTTCATGTTTAAACGTAGCGGAATACGTGCCATCGTGTACCCTCATTAATAATGATAATTGGGATTATGCCCTTATTACATTGGACATTCAGTTGTCGCCGGGAGCGGCAATTTCTTATTGTCAATTCCGTACACATCGTCCATTCTGGCATCACCAGACCAGAACACCAACCTGTCGGTATTTCTCCGAAATCACAGATTTACACCTCTTCTCGGCTGGTTGCACCGAAGCAATGTAGGGTATCAATTCCTTGTTCAAAGAAATTCGTGGTAAAAGCAAAGGTTGCCCTTCGAAACCGGCACCTACGCCTCAAAGCTTACCTCTTTGTCCCGCTAAATCCATGCACGTGTATAATCACGAGTTGGTGCAATCATATGCTTGAACATCTTTGATGAATGAACATGAGTAAATGTATGAACGAATAAATAAATGAACCAATGGGCGAGGATACAAAAGAGTGCAAAAGGCAGGGAATGACAGATTGAGTGAACAAAAGAATATGCTTGTGTATGCTTCGATATATTCCACAAGTTCGATGTGAATAATGTGTGGGTTTGCGCTTGTGGTAAGGGTCTAAGCATTTCTACATGCTCAAGTTTCATGCGTATATGTCGTATAGTTACGCTCAAGCATATGCTGTATCGTGTTCAAACGTAGATAGATGTCTGCACCGTTGCATATGTGGATGTATTTCT